GTCCAGATGTAAAATTTGTAAGAATTGATCTGGGGCTTTTTATCCAAGCAAAATACATCTCAGCTGTCTGATAACTTCCAGTCATGTGTTTTATTTCTCTAAAAAATAACATTTACATTAATTGAGGATAAAAGTCCAGACTCTTTAAGGTTTAAAAAAAAAGAAAAAAAAAATTTAATCAAGTTTGAACTTTCTATTCCCTTGAAAAATGTGAAAAGATAAAACTACAACAATGGATGAAATGTTAGTGGCATGTTTTGAACTTACAGCTACTAAATATGATGTTTTTTTCCCCTTCAAATCATCAGGTAACTTTGGACAAGATTTTTTGGGGTCTTGGGTCCATTATTTATCTTTATTTTGAGGTTCTAATGGTTTGAGATATTTTCAAAGGCAACAGATGGAAAGTATCAGTATAAATATGGCAGAATTGATCATGTAACGATAAATCTATGATCTAAATGTAAACAGAGGTTAGCCATGCTTACTATGAAAATTCAAACCACATGATTGGAAGTTGCTAGCTCCCAAATTGAGTGACAGCTATTTTAATTAAGAGATTAAAATGAGACAATAACTAAAGTCTCATGTGTTCAGGGCCGTAGAGTGTTTAAAGGAACCCTTTAACACACATAAAAGTTGGTTTACTCATCACAGAGAGTAGATTGGAGTTGTATAATGTCTTCTGTGTCTCTCGAGGAGCTTTGTCACATCTGAAAATAATTCAAACCTGATGATGTAATAGTGATGTCATCAGGGTTATTTTAGCTTGGTTTTGGAGATTACAGATCTATCACAGAAAACTTACAAACTGGAGGTGTGAAGTGTGATAGAAATTAGCCTTTACCAGGGGGATAGATGGTCTACCACCCAGTTGCATTATGGGAAATGTAGGATCCAGTGTTTTTGAAGTTTTTCTGTTATAAGTCCCCCAGCTTTATGGAACAGCAAAACAAAAAACATTGGAGTACCTCTTTAAAATAGAAATTTAACTGAATTCTACATTTAATTTCTCTGTTTGATTTAATTGTGTCTCCCTTACGATCCAAAGCCTTCTGCATCCCACGAGTCAAGTCAATTGTATTCATATAGTCCAGAATCACAAATTTGCTCTAAAGGCTTGTACAATCTGTGTAGAACAATAATATTCAAATCAAAATATTTAGCTGTAGTCAAACTTTAAGATATTTAGTCAAAAATATGTGGATCTCCCTTTAAAAAATAATCATGTGTAATGTGTGTAATTGTAAAATATAAATGCCACCTCAGTGTATTAATTCCCCCAAACTTACAGGAATATGAGAGACTTCAGCTGAAGAATTTGAACTCTTTAATGGCACAGTGTGTGTTATTAGGAATATATTGTAATAGTAAACATTTTGTCTTAAATGAAAGAGGAAATAAATAGATATGCAATAATAATAATAATAATAATAATAATAATAATAAGTAAAACAATTAAGAATAAATACTATTACTAATATAATATATATAATAGCTATAATACTATTATACTATAAATATTATAGAAATAATTATAATCAAATATTAAAAACAATGAATGAAAACACATATATGACTTTTTGGACCATTTCTGTTTTTATATGTGGGCAAGTTTATAATAATTATCGCCTAATAATATTAATACTACTACTACTACTACTACTACTAATAATAATAATAATAATAATGCTGTTGTTATTATCATTATTATTGGTGTAATTTATAATCGAGGTCCGACGGTGACACATGAGGGAGTGTGTTTGTGTGACTGCTTTATCTATACCCCCACCCACCCGCACACACACACACACACACACACACACACACACACACACACACACACACACACACCCCAGAGACCTCAATACGGCCGTGTTGGGATGATAAATAGAGGGCCGGTGGCCGGTGGATCGATCCCCCCCCTCTCTCTCTCTCTCTCTCTCTCTCTCTCTCTCTCTCTCTCTCTCTCTCTCCCTCTCTATCCTCCACAAACACAAAACTATATACGGCAATTAATTCCTGCTTGTCCCTCCATCCCTCATCGGCCCTGCCGGCGCGTATCGACGCAGATTACTGCTGATGGTCCGTTTTATCACCGCGGAATATACAGCGAGGAGCGCTCATAGACACACACACACACACACACACACACACACACACACACACACACACACACACACACACACACACACATAATCTCTTCTCCGGTGTTTAGGATCGCTACCTAAATGCCTAAAAGCAAAAGCAGCGACAGTGACTTTATGATAAGTTGTGAAGTTACGGTGAACCTTCGACCTTCTATTATTACAGGAGTGTTAGAAGCTGGTGACTCCGCAGGACAAACACATACAGCAGGTCCTGCAGATGATGCGCCACAATCAAGTCTAAATATTAAAACGATACTATTGACCTGCTCATGTCGCACTAACAAACCCGCACAACAAAAACTACAAGATTAAAAGAACTACAGTAACATTAAATGTGAAATTCTACTGCAGAAATATTACAGGAAAGGTTAAACAAGCTCAACGTGCACTGCACTCCACGTTAATGTCATAATAATATGTTTACAGGCTGGAACCAATAATAAATGAACTGTTACGCACAGCAGACACATCGCATTAAAAATTAACTACAGAAATATTACAAGAATATTAACAGAAAAACGAATCTACATGTTATAAAATGAACACAATAAATTCCCAAAATGCCCTCAGAAACAAAGAAACATTGCGGAAATATTTTAATCTATTAAAATATGATGGTAAAACAAACACTTTAAAACAATTAGACCCCGTAAAATAACAAGTGAACGCTGCACTCGCACCTGATGAGTAAAACCATCCAGTAGCCTATTGAATGAATGTTGTGTTGAATTCAGACCCCACTGTCCACTGTCATCCTCAGTGCGATGGAATCACAATAAATATGAGTTAGTAATGTCTGAAGACAAAAAAGCTGCAAACACACCAAACATCACCTTAAAACTTCAACTAACAGACACAAGACTTCACTTTGATCTCCACATGCGCAGCGGGGAGCGGAGCGGCTGCCGGGGACTCAAACCGGGAGAGTGCTCGGTGCCGTTACACCGGACTGACGGGCCGCTGAGCTTCAACTCAGACTGTGTGTGTGTGTGTGTGTGTGTGTGTGTGTGTGTGTGTGTGTGTGTGTGTGTGTGTGTGTGTAGGCAGGCATCGTCTTCACCTGCAACGGGACACCCTGACGGTACGGATGAAACGCACATTATAGCCGGATTGAGGAGATTTTAAACAAGACAGCGGCGTGTGCGCGCGACTTTCACGGCTGACTGCGCTCTGTCAATAGGCTGTACACACACACACACACACACACACACACACACACACACACACACACACGAACTCATAGAAGATACCAAAGTAATAAAGGAGTTCTACGCGTAAAAACGTGCTTTGCTTTTGCTGCGCGGTTAAAAATGAATGAGAATCACAGAGGTAACAAAATCTTCAAAGAGTGCTAAATAATAATTTAAAAACTATTTAGCCTGCATAGATTTTAAAAGAGAATAAACGAAAGAAAAAAGAAACCACTCCAATCTGTTCTGTTCAACTCTTTTAAAGAAACCGTTTGATTTGTTCAACTGTCCTGAATTAAAAAAAATATATCCTGAAATAAAACGAATATGCAATTAATCGATAGCTTTGATCGGAGTTTAATTGAGATTAATCATTATTATTATTATTAGCGCGCACATAAAAATAAAACCACAGTAAAATAGAAAGACCGTGTAAAGGCAGGCAGGTGTAAACCCTGACTCCTATTTCCATACAATCTGAATGAAGTCTGGTTAATATTAACTCTGAGCAGCAGGCCTACTGCTGCTGCTGTCTGAGGGTTTGAACCCTGGCCAGGCTGCTGACCTCTGACCTCTGACCTCCCACACCCAAACCCTCCTACAGCTACTGTCCAAGGCTGCAGCCACCCAACCAACTGTAACATCTGACAGACCTGCAGAAAACTGCTGTCAGTAAAACAAAAAATGTTGCTTATAAACTGAGGTGAAGTTGAAGTTTTACACATAAATGGATGTTTTATAGTTTGAATTTTAAAATATTTATCACATTTTAAACTGGCGGAAAATGTTAGGACAAATTACTTTTAAAGAAGGAACAATCTACTTAAATTATCATTTTATGTTATTAATTATTATACATCACTGATTTTAAGTGAATGTTTAGCTGTAAAAAAGGCCTGACTCTAATTTTGTTGAGCTTTGATTAGATACATATCATAGAAATATTTTAAAAAGCTCTGTTAACGTTTGATGAAACACTATACAAATATTTAGAAATATCTAGAAATCCAGGCACACAAGAATAAAAAGATATAGAAAATTAACATTCACACTACATTCTTTGTGAACATATTATTAAAAAAAATATGTAAAATTAGGAATTTTCGTATTACATAAATAAAATTATTCATTCATTCAATAAGAGATTAATAAAGCACAATTAAGTCACTATTTAGCACCACACGAAGAAAGTTCTTACAGAAAGAACTTACTGTAAAGTTGTTACTGTAAACTCACCACAGACATATACAGCATCACTGAACACTGCAGATGCTGTACATTTATGTAGAATTATAGGAGAATTATTAGAGAATTAAAGGAAATATAGAAAATGAAAACTGCAGAAGGTCGAACGTTGTTGTTGAGCATCACAGAAACAATCTGTGTCCCAATGAGAATATCATAGAAGAATTATACCAACTGCATGTATGTAAACAAACCAAAGGAAATGGGGCGTCTGGGTGGCCTAGTGGTTAAGACACACGCTGTGATCACAACGTCCTTGGTTCGATTGCGGGGGCCCTCTCCTCTCATTTCCTGTCACCTTTCCACTGTCCAATTTCCAACAAAGGTTTAAAATGGCAAAAAAAAACCTTGTCAAAGTAAACTCCAGTGGCAGAGACATGTTTGTGTGTGTTTGTGTGTGTCTGTGTGTACGTACGGTTGTTGACCTCTCCTGTGTGGTTGCTCAGTGGGATGATCTCCATCCTCTGCTGTCCGTACAGGTAGTAGTCCAGCTCCTCCGATGTCAGCTTGAACCTGCCCGTCGCTCCTTTGCCGCCCTCCTCGACTCCTCCACTGCTGCTGCTCTTCACGCTGGACGACACCACGCCGATCCCCCCACAGCCCTGCTCTTTGGCCTGATGGAGAAACCCCGCTGCTGGGTTGTGACCCTGCTGGTTCTCCGGGGGGACGACCACCACCAGGTCTCCCCCTCCTCCTCCTGGTCCTCCTCCTCCTCCTCCAGGTCCTCCAGGCCCGGCACATACCGGGGCCAATGCCTGCCCGAAGAGTGCGATCTGCTGGGGGACGGGCAGCTGGGAGATCCCTGCTGAGGTGGAGATGGAGATGGAGGAGGACGGGGTGAGAGCTGCTGCTGCTGAAGAAGAAGCTGAGGAGGAGGATGTAGAAGACGCAGAGGAGGAGGTGCAGTGTGTGGAGGCCAGGAGGTGGCTGTGCAGGCGGGATGTGCGCAGGGTGTCCATGGGGATGGAGAGACGGTCAGGTGGAGGCGGCGGTGGGCCCAGAGGAGCCTTCAGCTGCGCCTGAGGGAAGAGCTGCTGCCAGTGCTGCAGGTAGGACGGGTCCACCTTCAAGAAGGCAGAGCCACTCGGGTCACCCGGCTTCAGCATGACTGCCCGCTGGCTGCTGGGTAGAGAGACCGGAGAGGATGAGGTGTCAATCATCAGCATCAAAACATAAAGGCAGAGGTCAGGGCAGGATAGCGACATGTACGGGACACACAGAGGGTCAAATCTGTCAAATCTGAGTTAAACTCAAACACAAGATGCACAACAACTGTATCAAATTCACACTTGGGAAGCAGAAAATCACATTTGAGAGGCGTTGTTTCACTATGTTAGGTTTACATGTGAGAGATGCAAACACGCTTGAACGTCACATTAATCACTCAATTTCCACATTACAAATCACTAACTAAACCTATTGAAAAGTGTGTTTGCATTAAATTTACTCTGAAGGTGTGAAACTGATGATGATCACATATCGAACACAGATTTCAGCCTCATCACGCTAATTAAAATCCAATTTTCCTTCTGTGTTCAGCTGAGCCAGAACGCACCTGATCTCAACCTGGTTTACCTTCTAAGGTGTTAATACAGAAAAAGGCAGCGTTTCAGACAGGGTGCTCAATCCTGAATAACATGTTGTTTGTGTTAAATTTACATGAGCACATGAGATTTTTCAACAAATTCAATTTTAGACTATTGGTGAATTATACAAAATTTAAATACATGTATGTAATATTTACAATATCCTAAACTGTGAATTGCAGTACAACTAAGTTGTAGGTGTGAAGAGGAGCATAAAATGAACAACTGTTCCAAATTAAATCTACACCAAAGCCTCATATGTATCACATCCAGTGTTTAAATCGTCTTATTATTAAAGTGATACTTTAATAATTGTTGAGTGTGATTCCACATGGTTTCCTTCCTGTCAATCATCATCACTTTATATTTCAGGATTAAAACTGATCTTATTAAAAAACAATTAGACTCCTACTTTAAATTTGGTGTAATAATTCCAAATAAGAGAGTCAGAAGCTCATCAGTTAACAGTAAGTTTACGTTTCAGATGATCCTGATCCGTTTATCCGGTCTGATACGCTTCACTGTTCCAGCCTGCAGGATTTCACTGCTGTTTTAAGATAGAATACAGATTTTATACTGAAGAGAAAGTTGAACATCAACTCTTATGTGCGTCTGTTTAGAATAAATATTCAGATAGTTTGGAGATTAGTTCTTGCAGTATATTCCTTCTGGAGTTTAAGATGGACAGACAGGTTGTTTCTGTTCTCATCAGAAGAAACAACATCAATTTTTGACCTCTGCACTGGTAACGGATAAAATAAATCCGCACTTGCAGCCAACTATTTCTTTAAAAGCTGTAATAATATATTTTTTCCCCCTAGCACAGACAGAAGTATAATAAAATGTGTCATATTGTGCCTTTTCAGCCTCATCGTCTTATAACAGAGACTTGTATGAGTCTAATTACTTTCACATTTCACAACAAGATTTTTATTATATTTCCCCCTCATCCTTTCTGAAAGCAATACGGTCCTTTCTGCAAATGAACAACGTAGTTAGGCGCTATTTCTGAGACAAACAATGTGTATAAACTCTACAGACAATAAAAAACTCTGTATGAACTGACTTCAGCCTGGTTGACCCTCCGCTTCAGCCCTGCTCCGCTGTCTCGGGTGGTTATTTTAAAGCGGATTTTACGCACGCCAAGCGTAAAAAACGCACCAAATAAAAGAAACAAAACTGCGAGCGCACACGCTCAGGCACACTTTGGATTAGTTTACAATGTAAACCAGGCAGTGAATAAAAGTTGCATCAAAATAAATAAATAGATGGTCCAGTTAAGTCCAAGTCAGATGGGCGGTCCGGCGCGCTGTCCGTAGCCGAACAGAGGCAGCGGTCGGCGGGTAGAGATGAGTGGACGCTCCGCTGAGTTTTTCCGGAGTTTTCCGAGATGTTGCGTTTTTGTTTCTTTTTTGTTTTGTTGTTTTTTTATTGTGAAAGTTGCTGAAGCGCAGAAGAGCCTTACTGCTGTCAGAGTGTGTACGGCGGCTCCTGGGCGCTGATTTCCGGGCAGCGGTGGAAGGTTTGTCCCTCCTCCGGGCTGCGGTGAACCATTGAGGGGAGCCGGGACAGTTCGCTGCGTCCTGCGCGTCTCCGGAGCCAAAACTACCGGAGCTATTGCTGCGCGAGACTCTCTCTCTCTCTCTCTCTCTCTCTCTCTCTCTCTCTCTCTCTCTCTCTCCACTCACTTGCCCTCTCTCCTCCCCTCTCTCGCCCTCATCTCCTATAGTCTCTCTCCCCCTCCAATTCACACGTATTATTTCTCTCTCAGCCTCTTTCTTTACACTCTCACACTTTCCTTTTTCCTCTTTCTCTTTTTCTCCATCCTCATCTTCAAACTCTCTCTCTCTCTCTCTTTCGGGTTTCTCTCTCTCAGCCCTTGGCTTTTCTCCTCTCTCTATTCTTTACTCTTCTGTCCAGATTCAGCTCAGTTCAGTTCGATTCAAATGATCTTTATTGACACTAACTACAAACGTTCATATGGTCAGAGCAACATGTAAATCTCTCTCTGTGTGTCTCTCTATCTACCACAGCAGAAAATCTAAAGGTTGACTGGCCTGCAAAGTGGACTCTGTGGTTTGTAGTAAATGAACAATGGCTCTGTGTTATCTTTATGTTTGTATTGATTCATCCACACTATAGTGACATACATCTAACTTATGTATTTAACATTTTTGGATGGTAGGAGAACAGCTGTATAAACAACAGTCCCTAGTGTCATACTCTGTCGTGATTACACCATTGTTTCATCCTCTGTGCTGCTCACTGTGTCAGATTCTAAGGTCCAGGATTTTGCTGGCGATTCTTTTGGGACTGTTGCAGCCTAAAATGGCAAATTTCACAGCCGTTTTGCTTAAAAATTGCAGTGCATGTGGCAAAATTAAATTTCAGAAGAAAGTGAACATTTCTAAAATAGTTGTAATTCTTTTCTTTTTATATAATTGATTAGAAATCAAAGGCAACTTGTTCCAGTGAGAATAAGAATCGCAGGTAGTTTGGTGACGTATGGCTCAGTGTTTTGAGCAGAGAACTGCTATGAGGTGAAACACAGCACGCACAGGAAATTACAACAATTGTTCAGATAGTTGCGGTGATTGGACATAATTACGGGAGCCCTAAAGGGCCATGCATTCATAAATTTTATTTCCTCCGTTTTCTCGTGATAACGAGATAATTTCATTTGTTTTCCCGAGATAACGGGATAATTTTCTTGAGATCTCGAGATAACGAAACTTTGTTTTCCCGAGATAACGATATAATTAATTTGAGATCTCGAGATAATGACTGTGATATGATAACTGCGTCAAGCCAGCCATTACTCCGATCTCCGTGGTCAAATCAGCCGCCCTTAAATTTCGAGTGTACAAGTATTCTCAGCATTATGGTAATTGCGGAGAAACAGCATATTAACTTCCGGTTTTCAAAATAAAGGTATTAAGTACAGTAAGCTATAATTCGAACCTACATTTAAAATAAACATGTTACGTAAGTGATAATCACCTCAAGGCAGGGCAATAAACAGTTTGATATGCCCAGTTCGTGGACGGCTTACCGCCCTCGACTTCATCCATATTCCACGAGCCGGGCATATCAAACTGTTTATTGCCCTGCCTTGAGGTGATTATCCCGTTTATTCTACTTCTTGCTTGCCAACATAATAAAACAATTCAAATACTTTAATAATTATGCTTTTTCTTATTCGTATTGCATGCTTATTAAATGTATACTCTGTTTGAGTTCATCTCCCTCAAAAAGTAGTCCCCTTTAAAACTACGGTAAATAACGTTAGCTCAGCTGTAGCTAATTAGTTTCTATAGCAACCACACAAGGCTGCACCTGATCACTAGTTTAATAACGTAGTTGCAACATTGTATCCCGCTTGCGAAACTATGTATCGACTGACCCTCCGATAGATTTCCGACACATTTTAGAAACTTTTTTAAACAAGGTTTATTTTTACAATGGACCTCATGTTTGAAATTTCTGTGATAGAAAAAAATGCAAGCGGCGTATTGATCTACTATTTGATGACGCTGTGCTCAGTCAGCAGCAAGTACAACGACAAGTCAGCGGGCAACCTGCCGGGTTAATGTCCTTCTCCCAGCCAATCAGAATCAAGCATTCTTAAACGAAGTAGAATAAAGTGTTTCATGCGCCCATGATGAATAAAAAACATACTTAATATCAAGCATTTTTACTGCACCAATTTGGAGAAATTCAACAATAAAATTCAATATTTGTACCTGCTTTTACTGTACCTCAAATATATGAAAATATGCCACTTGGAGATACAAATATGGAATTTTATTGTTGAATTTCTCCACATTGGTGCAGTAGAAATGCTTGATATTAAGTATGCTTGTAGTATTAGATGTGCAGAAGTCAAATATACCATCCATAGCCAGGAATTATTGAGCAAAGTGTTTTTACAGTAGCTCAAATATATGAAAATATGCCACTTGGAGGTACAAATATGGAATTTTATTGTTGAATTTCTCCACATTGGTGCAGTAAAAATGCTTGATATTAAGTGTGTTTTTCATTCATCATGGGCGCATGAAACACTTTAATGTAACATATTTTATTTTAAATGTAGGTTTGAATTATAGCTTACTGTTCTTGATACCTTTATTTTGAAAACCGGAAGTGAATACGGTGTTTCTCCGCAATTACCATAATGCTGAGAATACTTGTACACTCGAAATTTAAGTGCGGCTGATTTGACCACGGAGTTCGGAGTAATGGCTGGCTTGACCTCAGTTATCATATCACAGTCATTATCTCGAGATCTCAAATTAATTATATCGTTATCACGGGAAAACGGAGGAAATAAAATGTATGAATGCATGGCCCTTTAGGGCTTCCGTACATAATATCAAGGTTGTGCAGAATTTATGGGGACTGGTTTAATTTGCATTAATTGTTGTCACAACGAACCAACCAATCGAGGAAAATGTCAGGAAATACTGTTCCTTTCTACTGACAGTTAATCCTCGTAACCAGTGTAAGCTTATGTGCTCCAGTTGCTCAAAGTCACCGAGACCAAAAATCTGACATACGAGTCTTCTTCTCAGACGCAACTACTGCACCCGACGCTCATTTGGTTCCCATGTACCTAATGTGTGTTGGGTCGGACCATTATCAGACTCATGTCATGGAGTCTGATCCTGCCATGAAGACCTGTCACGCCAAAAAGTGCACAGTGAAAGTAAACAGTGTATCCACAACTAGCTAATGCTAACATGCTAGCCAGCCATAAAGAGTTACCGAAGAGCGAGCTAATTTGCTAGTGTAATTGTCACATAGCTAGCTCATTAGCTCGGTTCACACAGTCGATTGTCCCACCGACTCCTGTGAATGAACTGTGTGTAAACCGTGTCTCTGTCGTAGAGCAGTTTATTTTCAGACAGGACACCTCGGTTTCATAAAACTGGATGGTGACACACAGTTAATAAGCAACGCTAGCTTCCTCCCATTTGACCTTTTCATTCCCTCAAAGATCAGCTCCGTCAAAATGGTTTGCTATTGGTCAATGGAGCAAATTCACATTTCACAGTTGAACTTGAGGTTACTACGCAGCCGTGACTGAGTCTGATCCGATGTATTGGTGGGAGAAGTATTCAGATCCTTTACGACTACTTTAAAAGTACAAACATCACACTGTGGAAATACTACACGACAAGAGTCCTTGTTAACTACTTACTAATCAATGAAATGCACTTATATCAAAAGTAAAAGTACTCATTGTATAGTGCAATGGTCCCTGTTAGTGTTTTTACTATTTTATATGATGTTTTTGGATTAGTATGACTGCTGCATTACTGTGTAGTCTATGTTGCGTTTTAGTAAAAAAGTACAATATTACCCTCTGAGATGTAGTGGAGTGGAAGTACAAAGTAGGATGCCTAAAATGTGTACTGAAGTACAACACTTGAGTAAATGTTAAACCACTGTTTAATTTCAATGAGATTAAAAGAGTTAGAGTTTCATCATTTTAAATGCAGTTTTGAGCCTGAAAACAATTTACAGATTCGTAACAAGGTCATGTTAGTTTTGCTTTACTGAAGCTGAAGACAGCCATCGCTCTTACAGCCACTAGAGGTTTCTTCTTAGGAAAAGGTTAGTTTTTGTGAAGATCCTCTTTTGTAACTTGCAATCGTGGGCGTTAGTCTTCTTTCTGTTCATTAATCTTCTGAACTTTGAACCTGTTGGTCAATGTTGCAGCTAAGATTATCATTACAACGTTTTATTATTATTACTGGTCTTGTAGGTGGTCGTCCTGCTGTCAGCTCACCTCAGCATCTTTATCAACCTCTCACTTTAATTCAGTGTGTGTGTGTGTGTGTGTGTGTGTGTGTGCAGATAAGACAGATTACAGCCGAGCTCATTGTGTTTCTGGGTCTGACTTGTTATCCACGACCCCGAGCTTTCCCACCCGTCTGCTGCTCACACTCACACACACAGCCAGACATGTGAAGCATACAGTATGTGTGTGTACATCAGTCATTGTAAGCTGCTGTGGATAAGAACATCAGCTAAATGCCTGAAAACGTAAATGTGTGTGTGTGTGTGTGTGTGTGTGTGTGTGTGTGTGTGTGTGTGTGTGTGTGTGTGCGCGCGCCTGCCTGTGTGTGTTGTTATGACTGGCGTCGCCCTGACAGGCCCCATTTGTCATCCTCGGGACCTCTGGTGGATTGATAACGAACAAAAACACAAACATAAGCGTCTGAAAATGAACTCTTGTCGGCTTAAAGCGACTTTTTCAGCACAGAGGAATGCAGTGCAACAACAGGCCGTCTGATTGGCTGAAGCAAAAGTTCAGACTACGGCAGCTAGCGTGGAATCACAGGGTTTGGAGTTCGAATCCCAGATCTTCCAGTAGGTAATAAAAGCTTTTTTTTTTTTTTTTTTAAAAAGACTGTAGTTTGATGTTACTCTAAGGTTCACTGTGAAGATTTTGAAAACGGTATTGCAAAATTTTGAAACTACTAATAACAAAATTATTCTCAATAGTGTACTTTTTCATTTTGTTTTTGTGTGGACAGAGCAGACATTAAAGAAAGTGGAATTGGGGCTCAGCCCACTTATGTCTTTTGCTCCTTTTTTTA